GTATGCTGGGGCTGTCACAGGGCTTGTCTCACTGACTTCCCCTCTCCCAGGTACCACTGTCTCATTGACCAATACTTGATGTCTGAAAAACCACCATTTCATATATTTTGTCTGTGTTTTCTTTGTTTTGTTTTTTTATCTAGTAGGGTAATCCAGTCCCTTTTACGTTATCTTGGAAATAGAAACCCTAATAGGTTTTTATTATTTAACATACAAGGAACGGAGGCTTGGAAATGTTTAGAAATGTCACCAAGCCCATTCAGCTAGTAAGTAGTGGGGGAAAAATTCAAAACCAGGGCTTCTCTAATTTCTAAATGAGTATTTTCCCCATTAAGCTATACTGCCTCCATCAGAAAGAATTTACAGTCTGCCTTTTAAACACACAACAATAAATTATAGCCTTTTCTAACCAAAAAACAACAAACCCATACCAATAAATTCAATTTGAACCAATGATTTTGGGATTATCTTACTATATTTTGAAAAATTATGGAAGGATCTTATACTTTTCATATTTTCCAATGGGATCACTCCCCTCCCCCATTTTAGCATTTTTATTGCAGTTTTGCTCGTGGAGAATATTTAGGTTTTTCTCCCAATAGTGGGAAACCTTGACCCTTTTGATGATCTGATACTGATACGCTTTCTACTGAAAGTCCTCATCTGGCTCACACGTCAGCTCCTGCATCGTCTAGGTATGTAACTTTGCAAACGTACTGAAATTGTCTTTGACAGAGGAGGCAAATGCAGGCATCGCTAAACTACATAAACATGAGGAGGTGAGAAATGCATAAGTGTAAGTATAAATTCTCTCAGTTCATTTTTATTACTTTGCGCAATTCCATTTAACATTTTCTGAAATTGTAATAAATTGTTGAATGATAAACCATATGGCATTTGAGTATGCCAAGAGAGATACTGTTTAGATAGCGAATATTTGCAAAAATGTGTATCATTATATTACCAGGAGGCTCTCTATTTAATGAGAAAGGAACACTTATCCTTTTACAAATACATGAGTTATAAATACATACTAATATATGTATATATCTGTAAACACTGATAATCTGTTTGTCACAAGCAATGTATTTGCAAATAAAACATTATGTAAATAATGCTATGCAATATGCAACTCCTCTTTTAAATGTTCAAGAAACAGATTTCTTACAGCAACATAAAAGCTAAACTCTGGATGGTAATTCATACAAGTTTAAATCTTCTGATTTTAGTATATTGTATATGTAATGATATAGACGACCTTACTTCTTAGTTAACCATTTAAATTATTTTTACTCTTCCATGAAGGTGAGGTTTGAGCCTTGTTTCTTGAATATTTATCCATCGGTGTTTATGCTTTCACTAGAAAGCTCCTACACCAGCTCCTGACCTTAGGTATCTTATTTGCACATCAATATTTACATGTTTTTCTCATTCCCAAAGTGAATGGAATGACTTTCTAAGATCCCCTCTATCTAGGTTATCACATGGTAGGTGATTATACTAGGGTTTCCACATTCTAGGATATACATTATCCCTTCCAAACACATTAGAATGCTATAAAAAATTATCTCCTTCATGGGAAACCTTAGTTTGGGGAGATTAAATAATTTGCTTAAAGTCTAAAAGATGCTGAAGACCTAATGCCCTGAATTATAATATATATTCTTTTATTACACCATTCATTTTCAAATATCTTTATCAGAGACACATTTTTCAAATGAGACACTACAAGAAATCACAATTTAAAAAGCCGATAAAGTAGTATTTTTATTGGTACATATTTACTTTTATAAATTCAAAATGAAAATATTTACTTATGAGGTTAAAAATTAATGAGGCAATTTTGGTATACATAAAAATGTGAAGTCAAATGTCATGGACAACAGCTTCAGCCTTTTAGCTATCTTTACCCCAATTTATTTCTATACTGTGTTGAATTTGCAATGACAAGAAATCCCTTATTTATAAAGATAAGTCATTGTATATGGAAGCAGTTCTTTTAAACAGAATACCTCATAATCTCAAGATGCTCTTCAATTACATTGATCCAGAAACATAAAATATAATTCGAATTTTTGTTTATATGATGTTAATTTAGAACATTAAACAACTCACATTCCTGATATTAAATATCTCAGAATGCTATCAGTATTTCCATATGTATTTTATGATATTATGATGACATTACATGTATGTGTTCAATGACTTTTGCTCAGGTCCAAGGACACAGCTGAGGCAACAGACTGGAGTCTGTCTTACAGTAGTTAAGTTGTGACATATAATGTCCTAGGTGTATTTAACTGCACAATTTAATTCTGTCCCAGCACTCCAGCCTGGAAACCTGAGCTAGCACAACTTAACTAATGCGAGCCCTCAATAAATGGTTATTATTGTCAATAGTGTCAATATACTTCTGCATTTTTGAAAAATGATTGTATCACATATGCTTGTATTGGCCTGCTGCTGGGAATAAATAAAAGTACGTCAAATAAATGTGCATTTTGAGCTCATAAAGTTCCACTTGATTTTATCCCCATAGACCAAATATTTTCATGTAACTTTATTGTACTTTCCTTTCAAATGATCTTTTCCTGAATAAATGCAGGTTAGAAGAGGTCTATGCATTCCTATCCTTATTTTGATTTTGTTTTGCTCCTGACTTGCACTCCTTTACTTCATTAAGATGAACATAATTTCTTTGTGATTGCGCTTCGGTTTTTGTTTGCGATTTTCACGTCCCTGTCCCTGCCCTGTCAGGCCTGCGCTTGGTCTCCCTCGTTCCTTCAACTTCTGGTATATTTCAACCTTTTAAAATGACACTTCTATGGAAGCACACATTTCTCATTTTTAAATAAGAAAAAGGCTTATGACATTAATTTGTCAAACAGAATTAAAATGAATTATAGTATGTCTCTTAAAGAAATAATCAAAGGGATGGGAAGGTCAGGTGGGAGCTGGATGCCCTCAGCTTTTCAATGTTTCGAATACGCACCCCTGTGCTCACTGCAGCTCTGCTCACCGCAGCCACGGCATGGAAACGACCGAAGCGCCCCGCGGCAGGGGACTGGGCCAAGAACACTGGTACATCTGTGCTACGAATACCAGTCAGACCAAGAAAGGACGCAATGCTGCCGTTTGCAACAACATGGGTGGGCCTTGAGAAGATGGTGCTAAGCGAAATAAGTCAGAAAAAGCTAAGAACCGTATGACTTCACTCACATATGGGATATAAAGCTGAAACTCAAACACGGACAAGAGTCGGGTGGCGACCAGAGGGCGGGGGCGGCGGGAGAGTCGGGGGAAAGGGGCCAAATACATGGTGAGGAAAGGTGATTGGACTTCGGATACAGACCATGTGTCAGAACTGTACAGCTGAAGCCTATATAATCTTATTAACCAGTGTCACCCCAGTGAATTTAATAAAAAAAAGAAAGTATATGCCCTCAAAGTGATGCAGTGGTTTTATTAACAGGGTCCCTAATGTCTACTCTTTTGTCTTTTATGTTTCCTATTGTTCTGCCCCTTGATTCTCATGCTTTAATGTTAGTTAATTACCAAGAATGTAACAGTCATGGAGAGAAAAAATAGGTTTGTTGCACCAAGGACTTTAAGATGATATTGACTGGTATGAGAGGTGCTGCATTTATTTATTTGCCTGACTAAACAGAGAGAAGACATTTTGGGCTGTATGACAAAGACAGTAAAATGCCAGTGGCAACATGTTTAATAATGACAGTGAAATATATATCTATTATTAGTCGTACAGAATTTTAAAACACCTTTCACTTATATTATTAGGAAGTAAAGCTAAAAATTTTGAAATTTCAGGGTTCAAAATACAAGGACATAAATACTTAGACTAAATACTTAGACACCAGCTCAAGATAACAAAAAGAGACTTAAGGATGTGGAGAGGTTTATGAGAACCAAATTAAAACTCCTTTAGCACTATGATGTCATGGCGCGTTTTGTATATCAAAGGTACACAAACTGAAATTAATAGGCTGTCACATTATACAATGAAATTCTCATAGTTGGGATCTTTTATTCTGTATAGAACTTTAAAAAATTATTTTTGAATTCTAGTGGGCCATAAATGTCTTAATGTCTAAAGAATTTTTAAAGAAGCCACTGCTGTTAATATGACTCATATACTAATCTGTAACAGGATCACAACCTAAAGTTTATTTCAAGAAGGCAAACTCACTGCATTCTAAATTTCAGTTATTTGATGGCAATATCATAAAACCAGCCTCACAAAACACACAATTGTCTCATGTCTCTATAATTACTACAAACTTTCTGGACTACAAGATTAATATGGACTATTTTTAAACGACACATTATATACACTAATTCATCTAAAACAGCTCTCTCGACAGCTTGGTCTATCTACCACAAATTACTATCAAAGATTTTAAAAATATTCAAAACTTAAAAAAGTTTAAAATGTGTCACATTAGCAAAGAAAAGTTATATTGTCCAGTAACAGATACACATTTTTTACTTAGAAAAGGCTATCATTAAAGATAAAGATATAACTGCAATTTTAACCTTCTAAATAGACAACTGGAATCACTGTGTGGTTGTTAATATCAGTTGTTAATCTATTCATCATCAGCAAGGACAAACTTCAGAATGATAATGTTTATATTATTGTATAAAATGCTAAACACAATCAAATAATTGCACAGAGCACATAATTGCAACAATAAGATGAATTATATTTCAAAGAATTTGTAAAATCTAGAGAATCTGGGGTAATTTATCAAATTTTTATATGACCAAGTTATTCCATTAAAAATGTATCAATTTTATGTTGCCAAACTTTTGTCTTTTTTACTCTCAGCCATTTTGCCTTCAGAAAAAACAACTTACTTACCTCGGGTGGTGATTCTAAGGGCTATAGGCTCCAAGGTTTTGCATGGCACTGCTGGGAACTTGTGTTGTATACATTAACACACACTTACCTTCTATTTTTCTTTCTTCACATACAGAATAAATATAATGCTTTCATAATATGACACATGATATAAAATATAATGAAATATAATGTAATATATTCTAATATAATAGTAAGAACAGAGATTTACATAGGAGAAAGCACCAGAGAACTAAAATGGAAACAGAAAATTGTTTCAGAACAATTATTAAAGTTGTCAGACTGGTCACAGGTATTAAACAAAATCCTACCTGTTGAATCAAAGTTCACTTCATTGCCAGGACTTGGACCTACATCAATGGACACAATCGGTAAGAGTTTCCGAAAGTCCCACAGTTTTGTGACTCCACAGGAATCGCAGGATGCTATTATGTGGCCCTTTAAAGAATATTAAAAAAAAGAAATGTATATACATATATATAAAAATAGGTAGTAACCCACACACAAAAAAAGATATGTTACGATTTTATTAAAGCCACAAGAATGCACTCCTCTAAACTAAAAGGTATTCATTATACCTTTGTCTTAAACATAAAGTTGTTATAAAATGGTAATTTTAATATATGAAATTCTACAGATTTGGGAATATTATTTTTCAGGAAATCATTCATTTTGATTAATTTTATTGTATTAGAAGATGTACTAAAACAAAAATACACACACCCATGCAATTATCTATGTACATATACACAGCGTATACACAGGGGCAAAAGTAGGTTTACAGTTGTTCGTAGGGAAATAATACAATAATTAATAAATAATAATACAAAAAATACTTTATTTCTAGTACTCACAACTGTAAACCTGCTTTTGCAGCACCCTGTGTGACATATGTGATCTACACACAAAAACTCTATACGTGAAAACATTGCACTAAGTGGGCATCTTACTTTATATGCCATAATTAGTTACTATTGATAAGTTATGCTCGGGTAAAATAAAAATAAAAACAGAGGTAGGACAACAAATGAACACGAGGAAAGACGAGTTTTTGACCACAGAAGGCAGGATCAGCAGGGCCAGGGGAAACTGGGACAGGGAAGCAGCGCCTATTGCGTTAGACGAAGTTACTAGAACTATTCGGGGCTCTGGGGTTACATGGGGCAGGACACGGACAGGGTAGCTGGAGGGAGGGGTGAGGCCCAAGGAGGGGCGCAGGGGGTCCAGGGCGAGGGCCGGGGGCGCTGTTCCCCGGCTCGGGCTCCAGGCCTGGCCCCTCCGCGGCTTCCTGAGCCCCCTTCACGCCAGGGGCCAGGGTGCGGCATGAGCGGGGGTCCCCGCTCCAGCGGCCCGTCTGCCCTCACCCTCATCATCCCCCCACTTCCTTCCTGGGCCCACTGCCCAGGGTGAGCCACATCAGGCCTACCAGTGATGCTTAGAAGTCATTACGCTGTTTTCCATTCAATACACAGCATCTCTTTCAGCTCTGGCTTAATGTTTTAATGTCAAATCAAAAATCATACTCTAGTTTTCTTCCTAAATATCTTAAAATGTTAAAGATAATAATTATTGTATACTTTTCCTTCTTGTCGTTTTTAGCTAGCTCACGTCATTTTTCTCACGTACTCCTTGATTTCTATGCTTTCTGTCACAAATGTGCTCCTTGTGTTACACTCCAAGTGGACTTTTTCTCCAAACACACTAGTAACGCAACAAATGTCATTAGTTTTAAAATTCTGTAACTGTAGTCGCAGGTGAAACAATACAAAACCTTGTCCCCAATTTCATAAATGGGATGTTTAATCTTTTTTATGACTTAAAAGGAACATGGAGGACTTGGACTGTTTTCAAATATGTAAACATGTAAGAATTGTGAAGAATCAGTGAATTTAATTTTCAGAAAAGGGAAGTTCTCAGGATTATCAGGGAATATTAATGTTAGAAATTAGAAAGAAGTCTTTCCAGATATAAGGGCTTTTAAACATCTTTTAGAAGTAAAAACAACAACAACAAAACAATAGGATCTTTCTTCAATTCTGAGAACAGAATACATTTTAATCAGAATTTAATTTAGATGGTTTACTTTAAGGCAGGTTATGGACTTGATAGACTTTACTTGTTTGGATGCTATGAACCAAAGATAATCTTAACATGTACTTTATATCACTGAGTATCAAAATTTGAGGAAATACACTTACAAATATTTCAATCACTTTTGGGATGAAAAGAAGTATTTAAATACTTTTAATATTTTTACATTTAACTTTTACTGCTATCAACTGGCCTATGTGTAACTAATTGTTTTATAATATTAAAATAATAGTCAATACTTAAGTGTTTTCAAAGAATCAAGTACGGTGCTAAGTGCTTTATTAATAAAATAGTAGATGTTGTTTCAGACAATTTTGAATAATACCATTTAGCCACATTTTTCCATTTCCCAAGATAGTCAGAAGCCATGGCAAAGTATGCATTAAGTAAAATAAATACAATAAGTTATTAAGTGATAGAAATAAGTTTGTGTTCAGATTTGATAACCAAGAGATACTTAGTAGTGAAAGAGCTTGGCTGCCCTTCCAGCTGGCGGATGAGCAGACGCGGCACCGATGGCAGTGCCTGGGGCACAGAGGCCTCAGAAAGTACTGGTTAAACCAGCGGAGGGCGGATGCCTCAGTGGCGTTTACCTAGGAGGTCTGCTTCAGCCCAAGTCCTTCCATAGCAGCCTTGAGGTAGATATTCTCACCCTGATGGTTCTGAATCACTTAGAAAAAATGAAGAGATCAGTGATGCAGAGAATATAGAACTAAAAACTGGAGTTTCCTCCAGACCCGATGTCCCTTCTCTTCTCTGTCATGCAAAATGGAAGCCCATCTGCCAGTCAGTCTCCTTCCACGGGCCATTCGCAGACACTAGAACACTGCTAACCCGAACAGCACAGTGCGAGTTTTGAGGGATCTGGAGATGGGAGATGTGGGGAAGGGATTAGCTGATCACAGGAAAAACATATTATTTATCTAAAACTGAGTAGGTAAGAAAAACAGTGGTTAGCTATAGTTAGGTGCTACCCTAAATGAAGAAAGATAGATTTCAAAGAAAATGTTTTTTAGAGATATTTCATTATGTGCAATCATCCCATTTTACAGATGGAGAAAATGAGGTTTAAAGAGGTCAAATGGCTTTTCTAAAATTACCTAGAGAGAACGATTTGGAGGAGCATTCAAGCAGAGGTCTGGCTGACCTCAGAGTCTGAGATTTTAACCAATATATTCCATTCTATTCCTTGAACATATACCATAATATATCACAAATGTTTATACATGTTGATTATATTCCCTGTTAGGATACATTTAAATAAGTCAATAAGTCAGATCAATATTTATCACAAAGATGATTCTTACAATATTATTTATAAGACTAAGCAGTGGAAATGTAAGAAAATAATTCTCGATGGATGCATAAACAGATAAATATATGTGCATATATATACATACATATTTAAAACTGTAATATATAATCACATAACTAAATTATTATTTTAACTATTATAATGGCCTTTTCAAAAATCGTTAATACCAGGGAAAACATACATATGCAGTTCAGTGAAACGAGCAGCAAATAATTGTTTACACTGTCTGAGATACCAAGCACATGCTGAAAAACAGAGCAATAGGAATTAAATCAGAAATGACTATCTTTAGGTAGTAGGATAAATCATTTTTATTTTATTTGTTCCTTTTAGCATTTTAAAAATTCAAATTTAATGGAATTAGCATGTGCTCATTGTTATCAGAAATCATTTTTAATAAATAAATAATGAAATCCAAACATCACACACAATACCTGTCAAGTGATCTAACATTCATAACTTAAAATTCTACTGTGTAAAATGGGCAAGAAAGAGGGTCCATCAAGCAAATGGCAGAAACATTAAGCCCTAAAACATCAGCTGCTTTCAATATGTGAAGGTAATGACCTGCAACTTGGTATTAAGGTATAACTCTAATAAAACGTTTAGGCTCATTAGGAGAAAAATTAGTATTTCAAACATTTTTAGTATACTGATACATTAGTGTGTCTCTTAGGACAGACTTGTGCAGTGTTAAGCATGAGCTCATCACACCATTTCCTCGGTACCCTAATGGCACAAATAAGGCAAAGGAATTATGGAATTAGAATAGAAATAGGAGGTAAAAACTTGGGAATGCTCAAGGTCAAGGCTAAAGGAGAAGGGAATATAAAGCCCTGGAAAGGTGTAGAGGAGACTGCTGATGCCAGTACATACTTCTTCCCTATGCCATTGTCAGTATGTTAGGCATGAATAATTTGTATCACCAATCACGCCCCAGGTACATGGAAGCTGAACATCTCAAAAATAATTACTCATCTGCAGCACACAGCACTTCATTACACAGTCACAATAACTTGTTCAAAGTGATTCATATTTGTTATCTTGTTCAATCGTTCCCCTTTATGGTTAGATTATATGGTCCTATTATTCAGATGGGAAAAACAAGACTTGCAATGTTATAAAGCTTGCCCAAAGCCATTTCGTTAGCAAAGCGGAGCCCTGGGATTCAAACCCAGTCAACCTGAATTAAGAGTCCAAGCTCTTCAGCTTAACAAGGAACCCACGAGGCAGGCCTTGACTTAGATGCTTTGGGGAACGGAAGCCATGAAGCAGCACTTAGGTGCTTCAGGAGAATATTCTGTTATTAAAGCAGAGCCCCCGAAAGAGCTAATAGAACTTTAACGAAACATCAACACATATGTATTAGCAAAGGACAAACTGAAAAAGCGGGCATTGTATTCATAAGGCAGAAGAATAATTAGAAACAGATGAAGACGATGTATATCAAGGAAGCGGTGTTTACTGAGCTGTACTTTGTCCCTGGCTTGGGACTAAGAGCCAGAGATATAATGGATGTAAATCCAAAAGGGGCTTATAGATAATTGTCAACACACAGGGACAGTCAAGCAATTACTACAAAGTTAAATGCTGGAAGTAGGTACAGGGTGGTTCGTATTAAAAACTGAGCACCTGGCTTAAGCCTGTGGGATCAGAGGCTTCTTCTAGGAGCGCCGCCCTAGGATACGCCCATCAAGCGAATGCGGCTTTCTGGAAATGATGACGTTTTACATCCAGTCAGATTACAAACAGGTATCAGTGAAGAAAGGAAGGAAGGAATCGTTAGCGATAAAATGGCACCATGATGGAGACAGAAGCAGAACTGAACATATTTCACTGTGGGGAATATTGTAAATTTACGATGAAGTTAATGTGTTAAAATTCTAAAGAGTTTTGGAGCTCACACTGAGAAATGTGAATTTTATATGTAATGTAAAACATTCTTATGTGTTTGGAACATAGATATTGATATGTTAAAAAGAATGTTGGAAGGCCAGTCGTCTCGGTGAGTTAAGCAGGTACTGTTGAGTGC